ATCAGAACTCACACTGAGCAATGAGTTCTGGGTTACAAAAGAGGATTTGTTCTTGCATGTATCTCTCATGCCTTTGTCTAATATTTTGCCTTTTCCTGAGATAGAAATAGCCCTTCCTGTATCTTCTGTAGAGATGGCTTGGTGTTCATAAACTCCTTTAATCTATCTTTGTCATGGAAAATTTGTATTTCTCCTTCAATTTTAATGGACAGTTTTGCTAGGTGTAGCCTTGGTTGACAGTTCTGGTCTTTAAAACTGGGAATACATATTGACAGGTCATTCTGCATTTAAACATTTCTGTAAAAAAAAAAATCACGTTTGTCTGGTACGCTGGGTGTGGTGGCTGCATGCCTTTAATCCCAGCACTTGGGAGGCAGAGGCAGGCGGATCTCTGTGAGTTCAAGGCCAGCCTGGTCTACATAGTGAGTTCCACGTCAGTTGGGGCTACAGGGAGACACTGTCTCCAAAAGACAGAAAAAAAAATACACACACACACACATACACACGTACACACACACATACTACTGTACTAGTCTGCCTCTCCAAACACACACACACACAGACACACAGACACACAGACACATACACACACACACACACACACACAGAGTTCCAAAAAGAATGCTGTACATGCTGCATGCTGAAATCATGTAACGTTATCACTTAGTTTCAAAAAAGCCAAAGAAAATTAACTAGTAAATATATTATTCAAAATTATCTGGATTCTTTAGAAGATAATGACATCTTTATATGTTATTTTGTTCTTTGAAGGTTTGAAATCTTGTAGACTCTCAAATATATGTTTCTGTATGCTACCACTAAATGATGCTAGAGGAAAAAAAAAACTTAGATTGAAACAATTCAGAGGAAAAGCAAAGGAAGTGGTAAAGAGAAAAAATAATGAGAAACATGGGGCAGGACAGAAAAAAGGAAAATCACAAAGAAGAGACAAAATAGGCAAAAAGAGGGAGGAAAGAACAAAAGAAACAGAGGCAGAAAAGGAAGACATGACAATGTCCGTAAGCCACATCTGGACATATATTTTCTGCTTCCTAGAATGCTGTTTTAGAGACTGTACAAGTCTGCCTCTCCAAACACTTACCTCAGTTTTATAGGTCTTGCTACGTTTTCTTAATGTCACAGCTTAACTAAATGTATATCGAAGTAAGTTAATGATCCTAATTTTCAGAGTAGCGATATCAGTGCATTTGGGGGAGGTGGGCTTCTCAAAAACAGCATCAATGCAGAGTTAATTTTAAGCAATATAATAGGGAATACCTGTAGGAGCACTCAGCTGCATTGACTATAAAGAAACCTGTGCATATTAGGAAAACAGAAGTCAAAACGATAGCAATAAAGCATGTGAGTATAAATAACAATTGAGTCTAACATGGAAACTTAAAATAATATTACAATGCCTAAAACACCTGATCATTCTAATATTTACCAATATTTGCTTTCATAAAATGTAGTCCCTGTGGTTACGATTCTATCATCCTTCAAAGACAGTTTATGTATTAGAGAAGACAGTGCAGACATTTTAAATGTTAAAAATGTAAACAAAAATTATAGCATTTATTTTTCAGTTGAGAAATGTTCAGAGAATAAAATAAAAATAGCTTACTAAGTTTTTGAGTTTCCACCTTGACACCAATATATAACTGTCAGAATCTTTGTGCTTAAAAGAACAAAAAATGATTATCTTTAGCAGAAAAATGTTATTGGTATATTTCTCTCTATTTTTTTGTTTGGTCTTTGAGACAGGGTCTCCCTGTAGCCCCATCTGTCCTGGAACTCACTATGTAGACCAGGCTGGCCTCAAACTTACAGAGATCTGCCTGCCTCTGCCTCCTGAGTGCTGGGATTAAAGGCGTGCACCACCACGCCTGGTGAAATATTTCATTTTTATAATAGTAGTTACCATTAGAACGGATAGTTTATACCTATCAGAATATAAACATAGATATCAGAATGTACAGTAATTTAAATTATTTTTAGAAAAAAATATATTTAAAGTTTTAAATAGCAATATCTGAAAATAAATTTTCTTCACATTCCCCCAATTAGATAGGTAGTCTAGTACTGGTATTTATTTAATATGTCACATTTTTCTACCTTGCAAAAATCTACCTCCAGGCATACCTTTGCACATGGCCCCAAAGCAGTACGTGAACTCTAACCAGTCTGGCTGAAGTAGTTATCAGGAAAGGAGAAAGTCAGGCACCTCCTTAGAAAGACACTACAAACTGCTATCTTGTTGGAAAATTGTATTCAACTGGACAAAGCTACTTGCATTATATATTGAAATATTACCTTTATTCTCTGTTCTCATTTCTCCAAAAAAATTTGTTATGATAGGAGGTAAAATATCAGGATAAAATTAACAGTCTCAGTCAGAGAACAATGGAATGAGATTCTTTATTCTATTTAGGTTATGACAATGAATTAGAGAAAAATATATATATGAAATGAAATAAATATTAATGTAAAATGGAACTTCTGAAACTATGTACCCTGAGTTCAAGATACTTGAAAACAAAAGAAAATGGGTCTTTCATGTAGGAAATGGGTGGGGCAGCAACTAAGAGTCCAGATTCCTGGAGCAAAAAGCAAGCTACTTGACTTTTAATCTTTTCTGCACTCCCAGAGAGCTGTATATCCTTGAAGTTACTGCCCTACTCGTGCTTAAATTTCTGTATGTGCAAAGAAGGTCAGTCTGTTCATTAGAATTTTATTGTGGATAAGCTGTTTGCCAAACAGTTTCCTAGAGATGGAACTGCCAGCCCAGAACAAACCTTCTTAGACTAGGGAGATTGCAGATTGTAGTGTGGGTTTGATGGGAGACATGCACATAGAAGAAAAAATGAAATGTACTTTTGTTGAATAGAAGGAAGTACTATTCCAAACTTAAATGAGGAAGATGGATGGTGTTTTGAATGGGGAGGATGTCATCCTTTAGAATGGTAAGCTGCAATACAGGGTGCAATAGTATTGCCTTACAATCCTAGAAATCAGAAGGCAAAAGGGTTGTGAGTTGAAAGCCTGCCTAGGATACATTGTAAGTTGGGGCCAGTCTAGTCTATATAATAAGGCAATATATTAAACACCAAAACAAATAAAAATAAAGGAATAAGAGTGAACTACAGTGGGTTCATAGAATGTTGATGGTAGGTCAATGATTGGGAGATTATAAATGTGGTCATTGTAGGTACAAGGGGCTCAAAAACACCACAACTAGAGAAGTGCAAATTTTTATTTAGTTCATACCTCAACTTCCCTTAGGTAACAGCCTAGCCAGGTTGCCAGTTATATAGTCAGGTTGCCAGCAATATATTCTGAGAAACAGAATATTTAATATATGCAGAATGTAGTTGTCAGAAGAATTAAATAACATTTGTAAACTTTTACAACTACAGAGTAACAGAACAGATTTGTCTTGTTTTGTTTCTTTGGTTTGTGACAGGTGTGTAGTCCAGGCTGGCTTCAAAGTCACTAAGAGTTCATCCTTGCACCAGAGAACCATTTTAAACCCAATCTCGAGCATCTCAGTTCCTGTTCACATTACCAACTCAAACTGAGATCTATCAGTAACTTAACCAATATTTACTGAGCAATGTACTGAAACTGAGCTATATTAACAAGCACAAAAGAAAGAATCCTTCACTATTAAGTCTGTAATTTTAAGTAGAAAGGCATAAAATAAATGTGCATGTATAATTGATTAACGTATCTGAATTCTAAAAATGTATCTGAATGTAAAAACTATAAAAGCTCTGGAAAGAATCTACATTCCTCCGCTCTACCAGTTGAGCTATTGAAGGGGAGAAGCGGTCTGTGTCCCTATTCCCTATTGGCAATTTGGGTAACCCCTTCAGAGGATAACTTGATAAGAATAAGAGGTAGGAATTGGCTAGGCAGTTAGGGTAAAAAGACCCCAAAGAAATGTAGCCAGTTTCTTCGGTAAAAGTCAAACTGTCCTTGGGCCTGTTAGCAACATACTCTGTTCCAAAGGCCAAAAATGTCAAAAGTATTTGGGAGCTTGTGTCTAATCCTTAAAAGATTTTGAGAAAATAAAAAGAAACTAGGCGCCATGAGTGCTCAGGGACCCACAGCCCACTTGTTAAAACTTAACAAAAACCAGAACCAGCCTTATCAAAAGGCTGCAGGACAGGCAGGCGTCGGGCGTCGG